GCCAGCCGCTTCATTTTTACCCCTGCAGCCCCCGATGCTGCCAGCACCCCAACCTGCAGCTTGAACGCGGCCGCCTCCAAAGCCTCTTTGTGGGAGGGAGGCACAAAACCTCGCCGCTGTTTAATTTTGCAGCCGGCGACCTGCATCGTTTCCCCCCCCCCCCCGTTTCCTCTCTCCCCCAATCTGATCCTCGGCCCCAGCGGCGGCGCCCGCAGCTCTCGTACAGGGTATCAGATACGTGCCTTCCAGTGCTGGGTTCAGATCGCAGTCCCAAGTGCCGACTTTGAACCAGTGTACAAAACCTGAGCCGAGCTCCCAGGCCGCCGAGGAGCAGCGAGAGGCCCTGGGCCATGAGCTCGAGCGATGCCTTTTCTTTTTGTTTCGGTTCTTGAGGTGGGGTGGGATTTCCTAAGGGGAAAAAGAATAATAATAATAATAAAAAAACAGGAAAAAAAGAAAAAAAAAGCCATTCCTGAAGTTGGGGAGGGGGCGTGGAGGGAAGTAATCTGATCATTCCTCAGTGCTACCTGTTTCTGTCCTGTGTGGCTGTTCAGCTGTAGACAGCAGGAGAATAAAGTACACTGAGACAGTAGTGGAAACAAACTCGTGTCCGTTGTGTCTGTGTGGGGCTCCGTGGGGTTCGGCGGTTGGCTGTGATGAGAGGTGGCTGCTGGCTCCTCCAGGGGCTGAGCATCCAGCCTGTGTCCTTTGGGGGGTCAGCACAGCCCCCAGCCTCGGCGTTTTGCCCCCAGCTGGTTGATCCCATAGGGGAAGGAGAACAGCAGCACCCAACGTGCCCCCCCTCCTCCCCAGTCTCTTACCTTCGTTCTGTTTCTCACTCACAGCACCTCTTTTGGCTTCATCCCATCCGTTTCTCAGCTCTTTGGCTCCCGTCCACCTTCAGCCGTCAACCCGTGCCCTGCTGCAGTGTCGCACCGGCGCTCCTCCCACCGCCTGCTGCTCATCACGGTCGCACGGCACCCATCTCCAAACCCAGGGGTACGGCTGATTGATTTACTGAGCTCCCTTGTTTCCAGCACTTCTTAGGGAGCTGCTGCCCCCCCCCCCAAATCAGCCACAGCCTCCGCAGAGCTCTGAGACGTGTGGGTGTGCGGCCGCGCTTCCGTCTGCGGAGAGGGAGGTGATGGAGCTGTGTCAGCTGCTGTGTGGGGCTGGGGATGGGGACATGGCCATGGGCTGGGCCTCCGTGTTGGGCTGGGGGCTGCGGGACTGGGCCTCCGTGTGGGGCTGGGGGCTGTGAGACTGGGCCTCCATGTGTGACTGGGCCTCCGTGTGGGGCTGGGGGCTGTGAGACTGGGCCTCCATGTGTGACTGGGCCTCCATGTGGGGCTGGGGGCTGTGGGACTGGGCCTCTATGTGTGACTGGGCCTCCATGTGGGGCTGGGGGCTGTGGAACTGGGCCTCCATGTGGGGCTGGGGCTGTGGGACTGGGCCTCCATGTGTGACTGGGCCTCCATGTGGGGCTGGGGGCTGTGGGACTGGGCCTCTATGTGGGGCTGGGGGCTGCGGGACTGGGCCTCCATGTGGGGCTGGGGGCTGTGGGACTGGGCCACCATGTGGGGCTGTGAGACTGGGCCTCCATGTGGGGCTGGGGGCTGTGGGACTGGGCCTCTATGTGGGGCTGGGGGCTGTGGGACTGGGCCTCCATGTGGGGCTGGGGCTGTGGGACTGGGCCTCTATGTGGGGCTGGGGGCTGCGGGACTGGGCCTCCATGTGGGGCTGGGGGCTGTGGGACTGGGCCTCTATGTGGGGCTGGGGGCTGCGGGACTGGGCCTCCATGTGGGGCTGGGGCTGTGGGACTGGGCCTCCATGTGGGGCTGGGGCTGTGGGACTGGGCCTCCATGTGGGGCTGGGGGCTGTGGGACTGGGCCTCCATGTGGGGCTGGGGGCTGTGGGACTGGGCCTCTATGTGGGGCTGGGGGCTGTGGGACTGGGCCTCCATGTGGGGCTGGGGCTGTGGGACTGGGCCTCTATGTGGGGCTGGGGGCTGCGGGACTGGGCCTCCATGTGGGGCTGGGGGCTGTGGGACTGGGCCTCTATGTGGGGCTGGGGCTGTGGGACTGGGCCTCCATGTGGGGCTGGGGGCTGTGAGACTGGGCCTCCATGTGGGGCTGGGGGCTGCGGGACTGGGCCTCCATGTGTGACTGGGCCTCCATGTGGGGCTGGGCCTTGTGCCAGGCTTCAGTGTATGCCTTGGGGACATGGCCTGGGCCTCAGGGGGGGGAGCTGGGCTTCCATGTGGGACTGGGCCTTGGGGCCAGGCCTCAGTGTGGGATTTGGGGACAGGGCCTGGGCCATAGAGTGAGGCCTCAGGGAAGGGAGCTGGGCCTTGGAGCTGGGGTTGGGCCTCAGGCAGGGCTTGGCCCCCAGGCCAGAGCTAGGCCTCAGGGCTGGACTCTGCCTCAGGGCCAGGAGCTGAGCCTCGGTGTGGGGCTGCTTAGGAGCTGGGCCCTGCTTTGGAGCCAGGCCTTGGCGCAGGATCAGCCACGGGCCCTGCAGGGAGCAGAGCGGTGCTCAGCCTTCTGCTCCCAGAGATGCGACCCACAGCCCCACGTTGCAGCACAGGACTGGCGGCTGCCTTGTGAAGCTGCCTTGTTCCTGGGCTGAACGGTTTTTCATTTTCCAGCGTGTAGCAGTGGTGCATTTCCTCGAGTCAGGGATGGCGGGCAGGGGAGGAAACGGCGCTGCCGTCAGCTGCTGAGGAGCGGCTTCCTGCCACAGGGAAGCAGCCGTGCTGCAGAACCTGGGCCCTGCTCTGCCGGGCTGGGAGAAACAACTGTGGGCACCCAGTGCTGAGCAGGGGTGGATCTGCAAGGGCAATGGAGGGCTGCGGTGTCTTCCCAAGGCGCCGTGAGGGCGTCACCCCTCGCCTGCCCCCACCGGAGGCAGCACGGACGCTACGGAGCTGCACTGATGGAGACCCAGCGCTGCCTTTCTCAGTGCTGCAGCGGCTTGCTGCATGCATGGATGCATCTTACAGCTGGAGCTACGGCGGCTCGGAACCATCCAGTGCAGCCCCTGAGCCACCTTCGGACATCACTTCCACGGGGACACCAGCGAGGCTCCGATCCCAGCTCTGTGCTGAGCAGAGCAGACGGAGCTCCACGCTCTGCTTCCACGCCAGGGCCGCCCTGCAGCCGGCACAGATCAACCGAGTGGAAAACGATCCGCGGCTTTCCGCTGTCAGCGGCCGCGCGGCAGGGCGATTAGGTTCTGTGCACGAGGATGCATCTGCACTGGCCTAACCTCACTGCTCAAAATAGCACTTCTCCCAGCGTGGCTGCGGCTGACAGCGTAAATCCAGCTTCATGTTCCTGCGCTGGCGTGGTGCGAGCGAGCAGAAAGCGAGGGGAGAGGCGGCTGCTCAGCCCCATCCCGGCGCCCAGGTGGGGTTGGAGGCCCCTGCAGCCCCCACCTCCCTCCTCTGCGCGCACACGGGTGAGGACGCGCTGTTTTTCTTTGCGTCAAAATTAACTTCCGACCTGATGGAAAACCTGAATTTGCACTTCAAAGCGCTTTGCAGCAATCTGTGAGCAAAGAGCCAGAGCTGATGCTCGGCATTTTTTCCAGGCCCCGTTTGCGGCGCAGCCCGGCCCTGTGCCCCCGCTGCCCCTCTGCTCCGTGCCCACCGCCGGTCCCTCTTCTCTTGGCCGTGCTCCACCCTCCAAGCAGCTCCCAGCCCCGATGTTGTTGGCTCTGAAGTGCCCAGCACCGTGCTCAGATCTGCCTTCAGCCGTGAGGCTCTTGCTCCATCACCCCCCCCCAAGACCCTCTGATGCAGGGCGGGGGTCCGGCCGTGTGCCAGCAGCTCCCCTCCTGCGCCGGCAGCCAAACTCCGAGTGACGTCTGCTGAATCACCGCCGCTCCGGCACGTCGCCATCCCAGCGATGATGCAGCTGCTCTATACATAGCCTGGGGGTCTGCATCGGGGTGTGGGGCCGGACCTGCAGCGCTGCCTGTGCCAGGTGCTCCCTGTGGGGCCGGAGCTGCACGCTCAGCCTGAACTCCACGCTGTCCTCGCATCAACGCCTCTCCCTCAGCCCGGCATGAGCTGCAGCAGATGGTGGCGATGGGGATCGCTCTGTGCTGACATCTCCATCTTTCCTCCGTTGCAAGCACCTGAACGGGAGTGAAGTCAACCAAGTCATGAGCTGGGATGCAGCTCCTGGGCTCCATCTCCCACCTGGGGTCATGGGATGAAGCCTCGATGGGGATGCGCGTGTCTTTGGGGGCAGTGCCAGGGCTCTGTCTGTTCAGTGCTGTCTGTCTGTCCATGCAATGCTGTCTGTTCATGCAGTGCTGTCTGTCCATGCAGTGCCACAACTCTGTCCACGCAGTGCTGTGTGTCTGTCAGTGCAGTGCCGTCCATGCAGTGCCGGGGCTCTGTCTGTGCAGTGCTGTCTGTCTGTCCATGCAGTGCTGTCCGTGCAATGCCGTCTCTCTCCAGCTGCTCCCTGTCTCTCTGACCGCCGGGCTGCTGTTGCCCCCCTGCTCCCCCCATCGCCCCGCAGCCGAACGCAGAGCATCTGTTAATAAACCACGAGCAGCAACGTGGGGTGAAAGAAAAAAATAAACCAACAACCAACGAACCACCACCAAAAAAATCACCCGTATTTCCGTAATGGAAGCGGCTCCGAGAGAACAATTCAGGGAATAAAATGTTCTCCCCGCCCCCCACCGCGCACGGCTGCGGCTCGGCTCAGCTCTCGGCCCCACCGCCCCGTGCGGATGGGGATGGAGAGGAGCCCCCCGAGGGGCCGCCCGGCTCCGCTCCCACCGGGCTGCGTGGGGCGCTGCCCCGCTGGGGGTCGGCGTCGGGGGCGGCCCTCAGCGGAGCCGGACGGACGGACGGACGGACTCGGGTCGGGGCGGTACCGGCGCGGCCCGGGGGGAGGGCGCTGGCGGCCGCCCGGCGCCCACGTGGTTTCGCGGTGTCTCCGGAGCGGAAGAAACGGCGGTCGGGGCCGGGGCTGCGGCGGGGGCGGCGGGGACCGGGGCGGGACCGACACCGGGGCCGGGGGGAAGGGAAAGGAACGGAAGGAGCCGCAGCCCGGCGGGCGCCGCAGCGCAGCGCATCCCGGTGCAGCGCAGCGCATCCCGGTGCAGCGCATCCCGTGCGTCGCCGCGCAGCGCCGGTGAGTGCGGGCCCTGGGCCGGGGGCGGGCGATGCGGGAGGGGAACCGGGCTCCCCCCTCTGCCCGGCGGCTCCCGGCCTCCTCCGGCCCGTTCCTGCTGCCTTTACCGTTGCCGTTCCCGTTGCCGTCCCTCCCCCGGCCCGGCCCCCTCCCGTTCCGGCCCCTTTTCCATCCCCGCCGCCATCCTCGCCCGCCTCCCCACCCCCGGCCCCGCTTTGTCCCCGGCGCTGCTCATCTCGGCCCCTCTGCGCCTTTGTCCCCGTCTCCATCCCCGCCGCTCCCGGCTCATCCCGGGCCCCGTTCCAGCCCCCCCCCGCCCCTGTGCCGTTCGCGCTCCCCGAGGCCGCGGTGGACGGGAGGGGGGAGAGGGGGGGAAGGGTCCGGGGCAGCATCCGGGCGGGGGGCTTCGGGGGTCTCCGGGCCTCCCGCGGCCTCGTGTGCACGCACGTGTGCCCCGCAGCCTCGTGCCCCGCCGTGCTCCCCGTGCTGCACCGGGGCCCTCCGGAGCACCGCCGGCGGGAGCGGGGCGCACGCTGCCGTGTGCCTTGCACGCCCATTTGCATGCCGCTTTGTGCACTCCCATTTGCACGTTGCTTTGCATGCCCATTTGCATGTCCGTTCACAACCCCCTTCTGCACGCCCCCTTCGTGCTGACTTGGAGCCGTGGAGCCTCCAGCCCCAGTGCAGTGGGCAGAGATGGGCGCTGGGCCCCGCTGCCCAGCATTGTCCCATTCCCTGTTCCCCCCTTCCCATCTCCGTTCCCACCCCATTCCCTCATCCCTAATCCCTCATCCCCATCCCCATTCCCCCATTGTCCCGTCCCCCCTCCCGCAACCCCAATTTCCATCTCTTTCCAGAAGGGCTGACCACCGGGAATAAGGAGGCAGCAACAGCAGCGTGGAACCCCACAAACTCCCTCTGTGATCCCCAGAACCCAATGCCTGCTGTGCTGCCTCCTGCTGAGCCCCCGCTGCCCCCCACCCTCACCTGAGCCCTGGCACTTGTGCCGCAGCCCTGCCCAGCCTGCATCACCTCGCCCCGCTCACGGGGCCCACTGCAAGGCAAGTGGTGGTTTGGGGGGGGGGGGGTCCTGCTGGGGGGGCCTGGGGGAAACTGAGTCACAGGAGGGCCAGGCAGGGGGCTCAGCACCCCAATGGGAAGCTTGGCACCACCGTGCAGCCCTCCTGGGGTCTCGCTTTGAGGGAACCTCCGGGCAATTTTGAACGTTTTTGTGCATGCCTCAGTTTCCCCACGGGGAAATGATGATGCCTGAGCTGGGGGGGGGGGGAGGGGGCGGCCCCGTCCCTCCATCACTATCTGAGGGGGGGTGATTTAAAGCCCTGATGGTGATGCGGGACTGCAGTGCCGGGGGTTGGTCTGCATTTCGTGCCCCTCATCCCATCAGAGGCTGCACGATCCCCCCTCCCCCGAGGCAGCCCACGACCCCAGGAGCTGCGGTGTGGAGCAGTCAGTGTCCCTGTCGTCGTCCCCCCAGCTCTGGGAGGGGCTCAATGGCCGGGTTTGGCCTCAGGCCGTCCCCGCCGCACCCTGCAGCGCTCGTTTCCCGTTCCTGCCTGCTGCCATGAATTATTTGTGTGGCCGCAGCTCCCGGATGAGGCCGGGACGGGGTGAGCCGCGGGCACACGTCCTCCATCCCCGTGCTGGTATATAGGGCAGCTCTGCTCCGTGTGTGTGTGGGAGGGTGGGAAGCAGCTCGCGTGCGTCGCGAGGTGGGAGTCGGCGGCGCCGGCCTCTATTTCTGGCACTCAGCTCCTTGGGGGGCGTTGGGAAAGTCACCACGGTCGGTCCCCCCCTCCCCCCCCCCCTCCGGGATGCTCGCTGCCACCCCAGCTCCGTGATGCTGGTGCTCTGCAGGCTGCTGGGACCCCTCTGTTCCCATTCATTGTGGGGTTGCATGCGGCTGCTGTCCCCTCCTTGCTGCTCGGTGGCCCTGGGAGGGCCGTGGGGCTGCTTCCCCCCCTCCCCATCTCACTGGGTCCCCCAGGCAGAACTCACACTGTGCCATGGACTCCATGTTCGAGGACGACATCAGCATCCTGACACCAGAGGCTTTGGGGCCGGATGAAGACTGGCTGGACAGCCCCAACACCGACCTGTCGGGGGAGATGTGCTCCGCGTCCCATTTCGCCCTCATCACTGCATACGATGACATCAAGAACCGCCTGAGCGGGCTGGAGAGGGAGAACTCCACGCTCAAACGGCGCCTGAAGATGTATGAGGTCAAGGTGAGAGCTTTGGGTGGAGCTGGGGGGGGTCTCGGGGCCGGGGTCCCACTGATGCTCTGTGCAGTGCCCGCTGCTCGGCGAGTTCGGAGAGGAGCACA